CCTGCTCCTGCTGGTGATGATGAGGGTCGAATGATCCCAGACTTAAGTGATTCATTGATATAGTCCTGCATTGCTTGGTTTTCTGGCTGAGATAATGAAAACAACCGACCTCTAGGAGGCGTTGAACCAGGAGTCAACTCAATGGCACAGTCATAAGGTCTATGAGGAGGTAAAGATGTGGCCTTAACTTTGCTAAAGACTTCACTGAGATCATGATAAACTGAGGGGACATTGGTTAAATCAGGACAATAATCACTTTTCTTTATTTGTTTTTCAGGGCTTACTGCACACAACAGACAGTTTGAAGAACATCTTTCTGACCAACCGAGGATAGCTTTCTTCTCCCAGTCAATGTGGGGATTATGTTTCTCTAGCCAGGTAGCACCTAAAACAATGGGTAACTGGGGTGAATGTATGACCAGAAATTGAACTGTTTCGTGATGGTTACCTCCAATTACCATTTTAACTGGAACAGTTTCAGAACTGGTGCTGTTGAGATGGTGACCGTCCAGGGCAAGGACTTGGTGGTTCCTCTTGGATGGGATGATCTGTATTCCCAAAGTGAGAGCAAAGTCATGATCAATAAATTCTGAATCAGCTCCTGAGTCTACAAATACCTTAACAGGCAGCATCTTACCAGCCACAGATAATTCGGCAGGAAGTTGGAGCAGTGAGTGACTAATAGATGTGGGACTTAAGACATGGCTCTTAATTCTTGGAAATTTGTTACTCTTCTTAGGACATGAAACAACAATGTGGCCTGACTCACCACAATAAAAGCACAAACCATCTTTCTGTCTGCGCAGTTTCTCCTCCTCAGACAGTTTAGATCTGCCGATCTGCATTGGCTCCTCACTTCTTGTAGTAGGGACTGGAGAACAAGATGGTCCACTGGGCCGAAGGGGAACTGGGGGCTTGAAAAAAGTTGATTCATTAAAAGTTCTGGAATTACCTCTTAGCTCGTCTTCGCTCATGCAACCTCAGATCGATCCGTGTGGCAAGATCTTCTAATTCTCTCAGGGACTGTGGAGGATCTCGTGTTGCCAGCTCGTCTTTTATTTCGTCGTTTAAGGCTTGAAAAAATACATCTTGAAGAGCTTCCTCATTCCATCTGCTATCAACAGCTAAAGTGTGGAAATCAATTATGAATTCTGTGACTATTTTCGTACCTTGTTTAAGTCCCAGAAGTCCTCTGGTTGCCTCCTTGTAGGGTAAAACCGGACTGAAGACTCTCTGAAGCTCTTGAGCAAAGTGTTTGTATTTGTAGCAGATAAGTGAATCTCGTTGCCATTCAGCCGTCCCCCATAGCTTWGGTTTACCGGTGAGTAGGGATATCACATAGGCTACTTTAGCTCTTTCTGATGGAAAAGATGATGGCTGTAGCTGAAAGTGAATTTCACACTGAGTCAAAAATGCACGRCATTGATCAGGGTCCCCATTATATGGCTCTGGAGGGCATAATYTAGGTTCTGATCCTGGCTTAGGTAAAGTAATTCCAGGTGGAGGTGCAAATAATTGATCAGAAGCAGATGCCAGCGGTTTTGTGTTCATGTTTCTAAGTGCTTCACAAATWTTATCTATTTTATTTTCCAAATTATTTAAAGCACCTTCAACACCAGCCCGCCATGTTGAGTTTGGCTCAGAGTTCATTTTTATGGCCAGATTTTCTGATATGARCCGGTTTTTGAACTCTGAATTAATGCCAAACTCAAAAACAGTTTTACAGATTTTATTGTTAATGTGCAAGGCGTTGGTGTGGTTCTGGATCAGGACATCGAGTTGGACTGGAACTTCTGGATACACGAAGTAACTATTAGCAGAGTCACTGTGAACTTTGACTGAGAAAAAATACAAAGTCACTGACCTGGTGTTCGTGTTCCATACACAGTCACTGATTTGAGTTGACAGGGTCCGAGTCCGTGTGATGTCGTCACCGTTCAGAATTGTTTGGGGTTTTAATCCAACAGACAAGAACTGGGTCCAGGGATGAGCGAGGATCAGAATCAAAAGAATTACCAGACTTAGTGGAGCAGGCTTGAGTCGTGGGTCCTTAAACTGAGCAGGGGTCGAGAGCCGTGTAATCAGATGAAGCGTCGCGCCGATGAGGGAAAATCCAAGAGCCGAAAAACCAGGAAGTGAAGCAGGAGTCGTTACCGGGTATTCAGATGACAGGAGGAATCCGACGAGGGCAAAGGCAGAGATCATTAAACCGAGGAGCATGAGCAGGATCAGGGAACCAGGACTAACAAGGGACAAGGTACGAGAATGCGGGAAGTTCATAGCAAGAGCACATGAAAATCTGGCAGAGACTGAGAGTTGGTGACAAGGCTTTATACTGGGGATAACAGGTGAGTTGCATGAAGCTGATTACATGAAGGCGGAGCTGTGGTGAACTGGTGATGGGAGGGGGAAAAACACTGAGCAAAAACATGATGAAGCTGTGAACAAGGGATGTTAAAAAAAAATGCATGACTTGACTAGGAAATAAAACAAAGGACTGAGGACAAGGCTGTGGCATGAAATGTAAACAGGTTAGGAATCAAGGCTGGCAAGGTGGATTCATAACAGTTACTCCTATTTTAATACGAGTTATTACTTAAAAAATCCTCTCCTGATAAACTGTGTCTCCTGGACAGAGTGAATTTAATTGTGTTTGGATGTGAAGTATAAATATATACCACTCTGACACCGTAATACTTGTACACAACCCATCACAGCTGCACACTGTTAGAAAATATATTTTTTGGAGAAGTCACCTCCCAATAAATGTCATTTTGGAAAATCTAACTGCTCACTTTTACTCAGTACTTTTACTTTTAAAACTTAAGTAGATTTTCTGTCAGAAATTTACTTTTGATATTTAAGTACAAAAAAATCAGATACTTTAAGACTTTTACTCAAGTAATATTTTTAGAGAAGACTTTAACTTTTACCAAAGTATTTTTATGATAAGATACTTGTACTTTTACTCAAGTAATATTTTTAGAGAAGACTTTAACTTTTACCAAAGTATTTTTATGATAAGATACTTGTACTTTTACTCAAGTATCACTTTGAGGTACTTTATACAACACTGGCATTTTATATATTTATACTTCTCATTCAACCACAGTTAAATTCACTCTGTAAGAGGTACAGTTTGTATGGATAATATTTATTTTTTATGAAAACAAGCAAACATGAAGTAAAAGTAACAACTTTCTACTTGTTGTCTTTTTTTAAATGTAAGAAGTGAAAGGAAAAATTAGGTTGAAAAATAATTACTCAAGTTAAGTACAGATACCCAAAAATTCTACTTAAGTAGAGTAACAAAGTATTTCTACTTTGTTTCTTTACAACTTTTACAAATAGTCGGTGCTTGGTGTGCAGAAGCTCATTGAGCTAAAGCACATGAGTGTGAGGTTCAGTTCTGCTGTGGTTCTGTTAGAACTGTTGGTTCTGCTGTGGTTCTGTTAGAACTGTTGGTTCCAGATCAGAGGAACCGACCTGCAGCTGCTGTTTCCCCTCAGGGCCCTCAGGGTGAGGAAGAAGATGTCGGGCGATCGGATGCCGGTGAAGATGATCGGTGACATCCTGACCAACCAGCTGCCCCACATGCAGCCGTACATCAGGTTCTGCTCGTGTCAGCTGAACGGCGCCACGCTGATTCAGCAGAAGACCGACGACAACCCTGAGATCAAAGACTTCCTCAAAGTAAACCCACTTCCTCAGAAATAACAGATTTATGTTGACGTAATGCTAAAATAACCACTGAGTTTTTCTGTCAAAGGTTCTTTAAAATATTCACAGGCTGCGTATCATCTGCTGCTTTTCATGACTCAGGTTTAGATTAGTGATGCCCCCCATCCCAGTTACTGCTCCCCAAAGCTCATTCAACCTTCATCTCTGTATCAAGAGAATAAAATAGAGTTTCAAACTTTTATTTGGAAAAGGAGAAAAGAAGAGCTGAGTTCTACAGAGTTTTAATTCAAACAAACTTGTTTTGGTGATTTTTAGTTACAAACAATAAATTATTATTTTCACAACCTCTGTGCAGACAAGGTCAGACCCCCCAGGCTGGGAACCACTGGTCTAGACTCAGGCTGTGTCTCAGTTCATGGGCTGGGTCCTCATGAATACGTGGCCCAGCTGGGTCACATCCTCCCTGGGCTGGGTAGGCTGCTCAAAACTGCTGTGAAATGAGACGGTCTACTCTTCACCTGACGTTAGCTTTACGTGTGTTTGCATGACCACGCGCTCCATCGTTAACATAGTCATCAGTTTCATATCTGACTTAAATGTGTCGTGGTCACCTCAAGTGAAACAAACAATAAAACTCTTTGACCTCAGGCCTCTGACCGGCCCTTTAAGACAGACAGAACTCTGTTCCAGTTAAATCAAAAGTAGACCATAAAGGTTAACCTTGAAGAGACATTTTCTATTTCTTAATCAGATAATAAACCGTTGGGATATGTATTTACATGTCTTTTTACTGGAAGAATAACTTCACAGTTAAAACGTTTCACGTAAATAAATAGAAAAAAAACATTAATAAAATGGGTTTAGCTCCAGTATCTGTACTTGTAGTTGCATTCATCAGCTAAGTTGCTAAACTTACTTTTAAAAACAGATTCTTCAGTCCGTGATGAATTTCCAAACTACGCCGACTCGTTAAAAAAATAAAAACTCCACCGTCTTTATTTCTTTGTTTATTTTGCTGCCCGAGCGTTTGATCTTGGAGAAGCTGATAAATCGGCTCGGCGGAATTGTCCACACTATTTGTCTGAATTGGATTCGCCACCTTTTGAAGTACCAGCAGGACACTAAAGCAGATGGAAAATTGTTGTTGTCTGCCTGACTCTTTTGTTCCCAAAACAACTGATTACAGGATCTGGATCTCCCCGACAACGGCCTTGAGTTGTTGACTAAATTCTTCCTGGCTGGATTACGTCAACAAGGCTCTGCCCCATACCTCCCCACTCCTCTCTCACCTGTCTAATCTGTTTTCCAGAGCAGGCTGAAGGCTGCACAGAATGAACATTTCCATCAATATTTCTGAACTATGGCTGTGCTGGTTTTGGGGACTGGATTCTTCGGGCCCCCCTAAACTCACTTAGTCCTGTGGCTAATAAACTTGCTCTATGCAGAGGTTTTTTTCATAAACACCATAGTGTGTCACAGTGTTGATATAACTTTTTTTTTTTTTTTTTTTTTTTTCCTCATCTTCCCTTGTGTGGTTTTTAGTTTTTCTGTTGTTAAGGCATAACTGGTCTTAACTGCCCCCTCCCCTGAATGTACAGCACCTTGTGAATTTATTTCTTTGAAAGGCGCTATATAAATAAAACTTTACTTACTTACTTACTTATACTGAATCCTGGGAATTCCTCGGCCGGTGAGGATACACTGATGCATCCTCAGATTTCTAGAGTTTGTTGGCCGTACGATGAGGAGCCTTTGAATTGGGATAGTACTCTGCGCGGGGCAGTGACGTACGCATCCGACAAATGCACACTCATCAGGACCCAGCTCCTGAATTGAGACATAACTTAAGGATGTATTCACACCTGACACGTTTGGTGCACTTTAAACAGACCAGAGTTTGTTTCCTCTGTTGGTCCAGACCTTTAACTCAGGTGTGAATATACTCATGTGAACCCTGGTGTGGATCAAACAACCGGACCAAGACCCATTTTTGAGGTGGTCTCAGTCTGCTTCCAAACGAACTCTGATGTGGTTTACTTCTGGTGTGAATAGTGTCGGCCTCAAACTGAACCAACTACAGGAAACGCACCTTTTTGGACTTCACAAGACACCACTGCAAAGAAATATTAGCCCTTCAGTGTTGCTAATGCTAACACTGTGCTACAAACAATGAGCCGTTGTTGGTCAGAGAACAGGGAGCATCTTGTCTCCTTTACGTTGCAGCACACATTTAATAACACGGATAACACTGTCCAAAAATTATAAATATATCATCACAAAACCACCAATGAATGAGCTGCTCTTAATATTCTTAATAGTCAGTTGTATTAACACCATCTTTATTTCTGGGTGCTCTGTCCTGACCCGTCATCTCTGTCCAATGGGAGCAATCATCGTCACCTTTGTTTATAAATTATAGTCCACTTACAGAAATCATAATGTGAATGCAAACTGCACCAAAGGAAACAATTAATTCTGCTATTTGGACCGGACCAAACATTGGACCAAAGGACTTTCCTGGTATGAATACAGCCTAAGTTTTACAGTTTTTAATTGAACCTTGAAAAGAACATTATGTTCTCCTGCCTGATCAAGGTACAGCTCCGGTTGGTGAGCTGTGGCGGCCATGTTGAATTTCATTAAGCCCAGCTTCAACTCTGCCATCAACTCAGTGGGGTGTGAGAGGTGGTTGGTGAAATGCGTTAGTTTTGTATCATGTTTTATTTTAATGCTTTAAAACATTACAACACATGTCTGAAGCAGTTTGTCTGATTCTGTCTCCATCAGAGGCTGGCCATGGATCCCAGGTGTAAAGGAATGCCTCTGTCCAGTTTTCTCCTCAAACCCATGCAGAGAGTCACACGCTATCCACTCATCATCAAAAATGTACACAAAACACACAAAACACACAAGCAGACTTTGAGCTGAAACATCTGTAGACGACTTCTTCCTGATCTGTTTGTGTTGTTTCTGATTCAGATCTTAGAAAACACTCCAGAGTCTCACCCTGATCACAGCCACCTGAAGGCTGCTCTGGAGAAAGCTGAGGAGCTGTGTTCACAGGTCAACACACAACACAACACAACACAACACAACACACACCACGTCATCAAATACTGTGCTAAGAGTAGCTGCGTCATTCAGACATACTTTAAAGGTGATATGACATTTATTTATGTTAGAAAGAACAGCTTTATCTTTGTTAATTCTGACTCTAACATGATGTCAGCCTTAAGGGATCCTTGATTAGTTGTAACATTAGACTTTAAATGATAAACATATATTTTAACTGTAAAATAAAGATTGTAAAAATACTGTAGGATGATCAGTTTTAATAATTTTTAAATTAAAAGTTTAAAGGTATCATATCATGCTTTTAAATCCTTCATTTTCACGTCTAAAT